GTTTGATAACTTGCATAGTTGCTTATAAATAAACTACGGAAGAGGATTAGAGCCACTGAAAAAAAAAGTTAACTGATTTTTAAATATTATTTCAGTTTAATATGGGAAAAAAGGTCAGAATTCTGTTATTAAAGTCAGAATTCTGACTTTTACCCCATATTAAATTGAAATATTATTTAAAAATCACTAAACTTTTTTTTTTTTTTTTATGTCCCTAATCCTCTTCCGTAGCTCCGCCAAACAGACAGAAAATGGGAAAAAATCCTTTTGTGTTTCGCTGCTCATGAAATGATCATTAAAGTAGTTTGTTGCAGCAGTAAAGTGTTTAGTTTGTGAAGAAAATCGGGCTGTTTCAGGACTTCCGCCTGCTTTGCGTCCAGCTTGCCGCAGAGCAGCCGCCTGTCTGGAGCTGCTGCAGGCGCTATTTGCAGCAGCGGAGACGCTTCAGCCAAATGCCTTTCGTCTCCCCGGCTCATGGGTTTTTATTCAGTGCTTTTCTTCGTTGGGGGGTCGGATCGCAGTGTTTTTGTAGCCATGCTCCGCTGTGGCTCCAGCGGGCTGTCCTAGCTGCCTGAGCCGCTCCGGCAGCGGTGGGTCCGGCTGCAGCCGGGGGATGAGGCCTACTCGTTAAAGCTGCCCCACCGCCCCTCCACCTACCTACCGCCATGGCTGATGATCAACAACAACCCGGTCAGAAGCCTGCCTCCGGATTAGGCTCCCTCCCAGCGCTGGTGCCAGGACTGCAGGGGCCCGAGGCGAACGCGTTACAGTTCAAAATCAAGAACTCCATCTGGTAAGGATGCTGCAGCAGAAGCTAACCCTCAGTAATGGCTTCTGACCGAGCAGAGGAAGGGAGCCACTGATCTGCAACAAAGAATACCAGCGGCTCCTCCTGCTCATCCCACCCGGAACACACGCAGGGATCCGCGGCCGGTCCGGGTGGGAGCGATGCGGGGATAGAGGCGGTTGTTAGCGGGTGTGATGATTAGCATGGAGCCACAGGAGGCCATGTTGTAATGGATGACAGCGACCCAGCGGTGGGACTGATGCTCAGGATGACAGGTGTCAAAGCAGCAGCAGCCTCTCTGATCAAAGGCCTGCAGACACCAACATGTCCTCCACTCCTACTAGTGCATGCAGCCTGATCACTACTGTTGCACCGATGCCGTTACCGATACCTGGCTATGCTTGTGCAAAAGTATAAAAGTTAGCAGTTTTGGTAAAAGTCTTTAAATCCAGGAACGAGCCACGAACTAAAGCTACACTGATAAAAGAAAAAAGGAACCATCATTAGTAGTGTTGCACCGATGCCATTTTTTGGGCCGATACGCGATACCTGGCTGCGCAGAATCGGCCGATACCGATACCATTTATATAATATGAAGAACCGCAGACTACTAGGATCTAAAATAGTGGCCATCATGGCCGCTCCCTACCTTTGGAAACTGGCGGCCTAGTGGTTAGGGCATAGGGCTTTGAATCCTGAGGTTGTGAGTTCAATCCCCCATTAAGCAAGACCCTTAACCCCACACTATTCCCTAAGGGGATGGGTTAAATGCAGACAGTGGAATGACAATAAAGTTGAATTCTATTCTTTGTGAAGCAGGAAAAAGACTAAAACAAAGTGAACTTTTTATTGCCTACCTGGAATGGGTGACAATAGTTGAAAAAACTTTTGGCTCTCAAAATGGTATCGTTGCCCTATAAGTTGGTACTCTCCGATACCGATACCACCATTTTAGTGCCACCCGATACTGGTATCGGTGCTACACTACTGATTACCCTGCAAATAATCAGATTACTCCCCCTTCCCTTCAGTCAATCTGTTTGTTATAGCAAAGTAACTATAACTATATAGTACATTCCTGCTGGAATGTATGAGGACTCTTACACTCTGCTTTTACAATGAATTCCTATGCATTAGGTGGGTGACCTTCATTACAGAAGTAGTAAACACTGCAGTCTGCATATTAAAGTAATAACTTGGACCAATAATGGTATAAATACCTAATTAAGGTATTTATATAATGTCTGCAAAGTATGACGGAGTATTAGGGCCATGCTAGAGATTTGTTTTCTTATATTTTGAGAATAAAGTCATTAAATTAGGAGAATAAAGTTGTAATATTACGAGAATGAAGTCATCATTCAACAACCCGTTTCAGAAAGAAAGCTTGGAGCTCCGCCCACCAGATGACGGCCATCCAGCTCCATCTGCCCAGTTTGATGCTGCTGCTAAAAGATTTCCTGGTTTGTCAAACCGATGCTAAAGTAGAACTTCACACGATGCTCCACATTCCTCATGCTTCTTGGAAGAGTTGTTATAAAATACAACTTCCAACAGTTATCTGACACGCTTGTCCTAATTGGGGTAGTGAGGGGTGCTGGTGTCTATATCCAGCTGTCAATGGGTGAGAGGCGGGGTCCACCTGGACACATCTCCAGTCCATCACAGGGAAACACAGAGACAAACAACCAATCACACCTAAGGAGAACCTAGAAAAGCCAATTAACCTACAGTTAACAGTCCTGTTTTTGGACTGATGGAGGAAACCAGAGTACCCAGAGAGAACCCATGCATGCTCAGGGAGAACATGCTAACTCCATGTAGAAAGGGAATTGAACCCAGAACCTTCTTGCTGCTAGTCAGCAGTGCTACCCACTGCTCCACTGAGCAGCCCCTGAAATACAGCTTGTTTCTCGCAATTTTACGACTTTATTCTCGTAATTTTATGACCATGTCTGTAGTTGAGGCGTCACAGTGGAAGACGTGGATCGACTCAAACCCCAAACATCATGGACACCAAAATAACTAAATGATCAATATCTGCTGATGAACATATATGAAGCATTTGGTGTTTTATCTATACATGTAATTTTAATAGTGCAGAAAATATGGTAATATATAATGATATTGCAATACTGTGATAATATCGTATCGCCACACCCATGCCGATACTCACCCCTGTGTGTCATCCAGTAGCTTTCTATTTGCAAAGTCTGTTTTTATGTTTGCGGTACAGTTTTTATTATAATTAACCCAAAGCGTTGCTATCAGTATCTCTGAGGATGAGAGGATCATCATTTAGTTTATGAATCTTGAATTTTCCACACTAAAAGGTGTCGTTCTTATCAGGTTAACATCAATTATCTGTTTTTATATGTCTTCAATCATTTCTTATTTTTTTATTTTAATGTGTTTTTTCATGCTTGGTTGTTGGAGTGAGGTTCCTTTATCAG